AGTTGCAAGGTAATTTGGAGCAACAACTGATCCAAACAAACAGGAAAAAAGATTTTGAAATGTTTGCTGGTGACTGCACACAGGAGACTCAGAATCCCCTAGTGCTTGCTGGCTCCAGCACAGGTCAATCCCTCTGCAAGCTCTGAGAGAGACCTGGGTGCTCTCACTGCCTCCCCCCACGAGACCCCCCCTCCTCCCAGGCTCTGCCCCACCCTTGCTGGATGAAGATGTTTGACAAGCACCTTCCAACCACAGCAATAATTTACATTTCTATACAGTGGCTCAGCTTGCTCCTTTGTACCACACCAGCAGCCACTCCACAGTGTTGGTGCCATCTTAGAGACTGGGATATTTACCAGCCTCTTTCCTTTGGCATCTTCCCTGAATCTCCAAATTCTCCCAGCAAATGCATTCAAGATGCCTCAGCTCCAAATCCTGCAGAAACACTGCTGGCATTGCTCAGAGCAGGCTTCTCCTGAGCTGTGCTCCCAAGCCAATCAGGGATCCAAGGCCCTGGACACAATTTTCTCTCAAGTACAAGGAGTGAGTTTCACCAGATTCCCCAGAGCTCAAAGCTCCTGAAATAACTTTATTAAGGGGGGGCCAGGACATGACAGAGGGGATGTGAGAGGGATCTGATGACTGTCAGACAGGACTTGGCAGAGCAGCCACCCTGAGCCAGACCTTCCAGTTAACCCCTCCTTGATCTGCACACTCTCTTAGCACAAAAGTTTTGGATTAGAGCTAAAAATGCACAGGAATGGTGAAGGAAACACCTGCTCTTGCCAGCAAGCATTCATTCCACTCCTAGTTTGGGGTTGTCTGATTTTAACATGCAGGTTTTGAGTCTTTTGGGTCTCTTTCTAACCCCAACAGCTAGGTAGAAGAACCTCTACTCCTAAATTTCCCTTTACCAAGAGGGGTGTAGCCATGATATTTTCTGAAAAATCCCTTTGCCAGGATTTTTTTCCTGAGAAGCTAAGAAGCCTCAGAGGAAATGAAAAACAATAATTACCTGCTGCTGTGGAATGCAACAGGTGCATCTTTGATTGGTCTCATGTGGTTGTTTTTAATTAATGGCCAATCACAGTCCAGATGTCTCGGACTCTCTGGGAGTCCCAAGCTTTTCTTATCATTCCACTTTCTTTCCTTCAAGCCTTCTGATTAAATCCTTTCTTCTATTCTTTTAGTATAGTTTTAATATATCATTTTCTTTTAATATAATATGTCTCATAAAATAATAAATCAGCCTTCTGAAACATGGAGTCAAGATTCTTGTCTCTTCCCTCATGCTGACCCCTCTGGTGGTCTCATGCAGGGACCCCTCTGAACACCCCCACAGAGGAGTTTGGCAAGAACATTTAGGGTGCCTGAAGCAGCTGAAGATCAGCTCTACCAAGTGTTCAACACCAGCCTACTCCTGTTTCAGCATCCTTCAGCTGCCACATCAACACTGGACCCAGCATACCAACTACAGCTCTCAGACAAACTTTTTGTTTTTAAGAAAAGGATTTAAGAACAATTCTTCTGCTCTCTGTCTCCTCTGTAATTCATGATCCTCTCAAAAACCTCAGCCTCCTCCAGGTGATGACTAGGAGAAACTGGATATCTAGGACTAAAGTCTAATCCTCTCCTTGGACGTGGCATCATGGCCTTTGGAAGAACCTTGTGCCACTCCCTGGTTTCCTGCAGGAGCTGTTGCCCCAAAGCCTCCACAAACCTGTGATCCCCACCACTGGGACAGTCATAGAATAACCTCCTCGAGAAAACCACAAGGACTGTTGATATGGATAATAGCAAAGCTGGAGCACACATTCCCCACAGCCCAGGGAGCTGGGAGGATCTCTGGGCAAACACACGCTGCTGTGAGCTGACTGTAATCCACTTATGCTCTAAATCTCCAAAGGAGGCAAGAAGAATGCCTTGAGGATGGAGAATAAACAGCTGCTGATTTCAGCTCAAAGCTCCAGAGCAATCAACAGCCCTGATCTCACTTTCCCACTGCCCCAACTTCAGTCTCTGTCTCCCAGCACCTACCAGGAACAGCCTGAAATAAGAGGAATACAAATCTCCACAGTGCTGTAAGTGCAACCAAGGCAGGTGTGGATGAGGCATACTCTTTAGTGAAAGTCTGAAGAGATTCTGGAATCTCAATTCTGCAATTTTTCTGCTTATAAGACGCAGGAATAAGAAGCAGGGAGCAGAAATCTCCCAACTGATCAAACATTTGGATAACTGGAAATTAAACCTTTGCCTCTGCACAGGCAGAGCCAGGGCCATGGGACACTTGGCTTTATTCTGGTCCCCACCATGAGTGGCTCATCAGCAAACTGCTCTGCCCAAAGAGCTGCCAAGACCTCAGGACAGCACAAGCAGATAGGTTTTGCCATAACAATTTGTTGAATCACAGGGATAAGCAGTCCTATATGCACCTCCTCATTTGCTGCCTCCTTCTGATGCCCTCTCTGCCAGGTCCTGATGATGAAATGAAAAGTGGGAATTTCACTTCTGAGGATCAGTGATTTGGATCTTCCACATTTTTACATACAAAGTCACCAAGGAGTATCTTAAAATATAACCAGCAGCAACTCAAGAGTGACTGATCTGGGATTCAATCCTCCCATCACCCCACTGCACCGCTCTCCAGCAGCAACACAAGGCACAGGGCAGAGGTACAAGCTCCCACAGCTCAGCCATGCACTAGGGCATCTCCACAACTGGGCCCTGCCAGCAATCTTCTCCAAAACAACCACCAGCATCTGACAATTGTTAAGCCATACCACCAATTCTTGAGAAAAGGCACCAAAAGATTACCTGACTGCACAAGCTAAGTGAACTTATGACCCCTGTGCAGCTGCTCCCACAGTGCAGACAGGATGGAACCAAGTTCTCCTGGTTCTCTACAACTGGGAAAAAACCTCCCAAGCACGAAGCACAGGGGAAGGTGAAAAGCCACTGCAAAGCCCGGGCAGCAGTGCCTGAAAGTGGCACGAACCTGTGACAGCGCACCCACCCTGCTTACAATTCCATCTTTCCAGACAGATTTTTTTCCAGTTCTGTAATTTTTCATCCCCAGAAACATTAAAAGCCTGCATGGGAAAAACAGCTGTGGCCCCATGGCCGCCCTCCTGCCCCCAGAGCCCGCACTGTCCCTGCCCCATGGGCCCCCCGAAGCTGCCAGTGCCACCCTGCCCTGTCCTCCCACACCAGGATCTCCCCCGCCCTAACACTCCCCACACCCATTTCCCCAAAGTTCTACAAGATCAAAGTGACCCAAAGTCGCCGCTGTCCCATTCCACGGACCCTCCGAGCCCCTCAGAGCACATCCCTACCCGTTCTCCCGGACCCCGCGTCCCCCAGGCCCCACGTCCGCTGTGTATGCCCTTCACAGAGCACCCCACGGCGCTGAAGCAGTCCGTCCGCGCCTCGCCTCCCCTGCCCGACCCGGTTCGGCGCAAACCGCGCCCCGCCGGCCCCGTCCCCGCACCTCCTCCGCCTCACGCTCAACGGGGCCGCCAACCTCCACCTCCAGCACAGCCGCCATCTTGCCCCGCCCCCCTAGTAGCCAGCCTGTTCCGCCGCCGTCCGCCAATCACCGGGCACGCTGCCGCACCTTGAGCCAATCTCTGGGCGCGGCGCTGCTCCGGCCACCAATGAGGCGAGGGGAGGAGTGGAACGGCTGCCGGGCACGCCCCTCCGGGCGCATCATAGCGGTGAGCTGTCACCGCCGGCCGCTGGCTCCGGGGTGTGGGCCCGCAGCGGGACGCGTGGCTCCCGTGGGCAGCACAAAGCGCCTCGCACCGCCGTGCCGGCGGTGCCGCTGCTGCCCTGCCCACGCCCGCCACTCTCCGCCACCGCCGCACGCTGTTCCGCACAGGGCGCAGATAGCTCCTGAGCTCCGCCCGCGGGCTGCGTGTCGTGTCTCGCCGCCTGTGTGTCCCCGCGGGCTGCGTCTGTGTAACGTCCCCCGCGGGCTGTGCGCGTGTCCCGTCCCCGCAGGCTGAGTGCGTGTAATGTCCCCGCGGGCTGCGTGTCCCGTTAGGTCCCGCGGCGGGGAGAGGCGCTGAAGGGAGGCGGGAGCGGCGGGGATCGGGGCTCGCGTCATTTGGGCGGCCGAGATCGGCGCCGATGGGGCTGGGCGGGAGCTGTGGGCCCCCCAACTGGGTTGGGTAACGGCGTGGAGAGGCTGTGGGGCACAGCCAGGGCTTTAACAGGGCTGGGAAAGCGGAGAACGACTGGGGAGCTACAGCGATAGCGGAATGGCGCTGAGGCGGTGTTCGTGCGTCTGGGAACACGGGCCCTGGAGCTGCGGGTGAGCACTTGAGGGCACTGGGGAACAGGGCTGGGGCGTGTGGGTGGTACCCGGGTGGCAGAATGGGGCGTTGTGGGCTGAGCTGGGGGATTGTGACTCAGATCTGGGGGTTACTGCTGGGACGGGAACCTGAGGGGTGCTGGGGCAGCTCTGGGGGGCACCGAGGCGGTGGGATGGGACTGGGGAGCTGCTGGATGGTACCAAAGCCAGGAGATGTCCAAACTCGTCAGACTCTCCTCTCTCCCCACCAGGCACCGGAGGCATCCGAAGGGAAGTTGCGCTCTGCCAGTGCTGTCTCCAAAGGCTCTGGAATGGCTCCGGTTAAAATCAGCTGTGTGCTGTCCTTCTCCCAGGTGCCTGGGGGCTCCCTCTGGGGGGCTGGGTGTGGGGCTGATCCCTCTGAGCTGTTGGGGTCTTGGAAGAGGTGGGTCAGGCCATGACAGGGTGCAGTACTACCTCACCTTGTTAAGCAGAAGGGCAAGGATTCACATCATTCTTGCTCTCTCAAAATGGAATGTTGTTCCTTCCTGTAGGTTACCAGAGAATTTCATGCTTCTCCCCATGTCCAGAACAAGCTAGAGCTGGAGGGGAGGGTGTTTAGGGAGGGGTTGGTTGGTACCTGATGCTGTGTCCCTGGTGTGTGTGCAGGACCCCAAGTACCCCAAGGCAGAGAACCTGCTGAGCGTACAGCCCTGGCTTGGCTGCCCCAAGGGTCACAGCAGGCAGCTGAGTGTGGGGCTGTGACTGGAGAGAGCCAGTCCCATTGGCTGTGTTGATGTTGACACCTCCCTGTTCCCCACTCCCGTGCAGGAGCCAGGGCCATGCCCCACAGTGGGGTCAGCAGCTCTGAGCCCCTTGCCCCTGTCCTTCTCGCTGCTCCCCAGGGAACTACAGCTGTGCCTTTCTGCAGGTTGAGGTGGGATGCTCCTCGTGGCCCTGTGACCAGCCCTGTCACACCTTGGTGCCCACTGATGACACCAGCTGACTCAAAGCTGGACCAGAATCGCTGCAGAGTTCAGATGTTTTAGGAAGGTAAGGACTGACCCAAAGGAAAAAGGCATGGGGAAGAGCTGTGGGCCTGGTCGTGGGATGGAGCTGATTTGGGGGGATAGTGATGGAATGGGGCTGGCAGTAGGATGAGGCTGATAGGAAGGTAGAAGGACAGGTAGGGAAGAGGACAGATAGACCAGGAGTTAGGGTTGTTTATGGGCTCAGGAAAGCTGTGCCAGCTCTGCTTCCCTGCCCTTTCTTGTGCCCATAATCCCCCAGATGTTCTGGGTGGCACAGCAGCAGAGCAACAAGCAGAGGCAGGAGTGCTGTTGGGCCAGTGGCCAGTGCCCTTCCCCACAGCAGAGCTCAGAGCTGACGGTGGGGCAGACATGGGACCATGTGCTGTGACAGCTGCAGCTGGTCTGGAGCTGCACAGTTAAAACTGGCCATAACAGACCCCAACTTGACCAGCCTGGTACATTAAAGAGTAGAGGTAAACAAGTCCCTGGGTAAGACAGTGATAAGTAGGGTTTGAACTCCAGCAGGGGAGCCCAGCCAGTCCCATTCAATCCTGAATGCAGGCACCAGCTGGCCAGTGAGCTGGGTGGGGTTGAGACCCCAGCCAATCAGGTGTTCAAGTGCAGGAGTTCTGAAGCCCCTATAAAAGGGGGTGCCCACCAATTAACTTTGGCTCTTTGGCAGGAACTTAAACTTTGGCAGGAACTCAGTGTGTTCGGCGTTTGCTTGTGTTCTTTGGTATCCGATAGTGACACCCTCCTGCAAGGCTGCCCCTCCCTATCCCCAGGAGATCCAGGGAGGAGAACCAAGTGAGGAGCCGCCTGTGGAAGCTGGATGGGGCTGCCTGGAGCCCAGCCCACCTCAGCCACTCTGCCTGGATGGAGCTGTTGAGAGCACAGAACCAGAACCAGGCCCTGAGGCCCAGAGCTGGCACGAGCACCGTGGGGCATCACCTGGAGCTGCTGGCCAAGGATGTGGGAGGTCCTGCAGTGCCAGGTGAGTGAATCTGCACAGCTGTGTCCTGGGCTGGCCCCCAGCCACTGTGGGCAGCAGGGCAAGGGGGAATTCTGCCCCTCTGCTCTGCTCAGGTGAGAGCGCACCTGCAGAGCTGCTCCAGCTCTGGGACCTCCAACATCAGAAGAGTGTGGAGCAACGGGTATGAGTCCAGAGGTGTCAGAACTCAGTACATCCCTCCGGGTGTCCAGAGTTGCCGAGGACCCCACTGGGGGGCTCGGAGACCTTGGCTTGCTGCCCAGAACACCTGGGGATTTGATTTTGACCCTTGGAGCAAGTTGCCAACTTTGTATGAGGACATGAAGGTCACACAGGTTTGAACAGTGTAATAACAAAATGATCCTAGGGTGAAAATGTAGATTTTAGGATTTTTGGTATAGGGGTTATGGGGACAAGATGGAGGAATCAGGGCGTGTCTAGCCTTCCTTCTTCTTCTTCTTGTTCTCCATTTTCTGCTGTGATGTTGGTACTTTGGGATTGGTTTAGAGAAGAAGTGCACTGTCCAACATAGGTGATAGGTATTGGGAATTAAGTGTAAATAGGAAATACGTAGTTTGTAGTATAAAAGGACAGCACCGCCTTGGGGGCGGTCAGAGTGCTCATGGCTGCCCTGCAGAGCGGATCTCCACTGGGCAGAAAGAAAATTTTATAGATAAGAATTAATAAACAACCTCAAGACCAAAAAGTGAAGAGTCCAGACTCATTCTTCAGTTGTGCAGAGACATCCTACGCATCTTGGGGCAGCAATTACCAACAGCAACCCAAGATTTGGCATCCCTGGCTGGGCACGTTCCAAGGGGGCACTGATAAACCTCTTGGGAAGCAGCCAGAACAGCCTGGGAAGCAGCAGCCACTCTCAAGGCCATCCAGAGAGCTGCTGACGAAGGGACTCATAGCAGAACAGTCCGGAGCGGAGCCAGAAGGTGCCCTGGATCCTCTCTCCTGTGAACTGCTGGCGTTTCCAGCTGGACCTTCAGACTGACCTGATGACTTGGATTTGGTAAGAAGATCAAAATTAAAGAACATGGGGGGACATGCTCCCAGGAACAGTTAAGGATTTTGTCAGCCTTACAAGGCATGGCAGAGGCACACCCGATGGAAATTTCAAAGAAAGAACTCAGAGATCTTTTGCTATGGGTATGCTGTAATTATCTGTACCACCTGCACGGGTGATGCTGGAAGCAACCTCAGCAAGATGTGGGCAGGTTGCCAAACAGCAGGTTGCTGAAACTCCCACGGGGCAGAGGGAGGGGAGCAGAGGCAGAAGCGGGGGGCGGCTCTTGTTCCAATTGTCCCAGGGAAACAGAAATAGCTCCCATAGAAGGGGAGCAGGAGGGAACTTCTTCACCTCCGATTCCCTCATCACCCCGAAAGCCCACGGGACCTCCAAAACGCCCAGAATCCCCAGATACTTCAGGGTTTTCGGGCTCAGACTCAGACACCCTCTCATTCCCGGGACAGCTCAGGGCTGAAATTTCCCCAAGTGAAATCGAGGAATCGGGACTGTGCCATTATCGGGGCACGTCCTCCCGATTCGCAGGAGCCAAAGGGACACAGGAGAGGGAAAACAGCAGAGTCGGGACGGAGGGCCGAAGTGGGACCAGAGGGAGCAAAGCTCTCTAGCGGCGGGCGCGGTCCCGCGGGCGGCGGCCTCAGGCGGCGGCTGGGGCAGTGGCGAGGGCGGAAGGACCCGGTGGGAGACTCGGGAGCTGACGCGGTTTGCGCGGGGGCGGTGCCGGCGGCAGCTTCGACCGGCGCGGTGCAAAAAACGCGAGCGAGGGGCAGAAATCGCGAGGCAAATGTGGCGCAGCCACCCGGGGACAGCGTCCGGGGACGAGCCCGGCGGGGCAGCTGCACAGTCCCAGCCGGCACCCGTAGGCAGGCGCGCGGTGATGACGCCGTACCCGGATTCGGGACGCGGAGATCTGCCCGAATCGCAGCGCGGGCAGGAGCCGAGCGGGAATTGCGCGCGCCGGCGGGGGTGCGGATACAGTGCAGGGGGAAGAGGAGGGGATTCAGGAACGGATCAAACCGGGGGAGAAACATCGGAGGCGGAACGGGAAGGAGAGAGTGACGTCAGTCTAGGGAGGCAGGAGGCGTGCCCGAGATCGCGCGTGCGTAGAAGCCGCGGGCGGAGCGCAGTTGGAGGCGGGTCCGCTCCCCTGTGACGGCACGGGCAGGGAAGGGGCGTGCTCGGGGCTCGGTCACATCCCGGGGCTCCGCCCCCTCTCCGTTTCCCGTCCCTGCAGTCCCAGTCCCTTCGATCCCGACCTCTCCAGTCCCAGGGAGACACACACGTGTCCAATCTCAACTGCTGGCTCAGTCAAAAATCGCACAGTCTCGGTCTCACTCAAAATCGCGAACGCTGCAGTCAGCCTAACCGGAGCCGATCGCGGTCGCGCCGCCATCGCGGTCAGCCAGGCGGGCGACAGCGCCCCCTTGTGGTGGGGTCACCACATTGCAGGACATGCCAGACCTGCCCGACCGAGCCACAGCGCCGTCTGGTGGCGGGACTGCAGCATTGCAACACTTTTTTCCAACTACGTAGAAAAGGAAATCTAAATCAAAGACAAGTACAACACAGCAAGTAGAGTATTCATCAGCTTCTGAATCTCATGAAGCTCAAGACATTTCTGATGAGGCACAACAACAGGATGATACAATAGGCATTGCTGCCTCAGAGGGTGTTCCAGCAGGGATGTTTTCAGCAGCAACAGCAGCCAGTTCTTCAGGCAGGAAGCCAAATACCTTCTACAATATTTAAGCACGGCCATGGGAACACAAGCACGAGAATTTCAGATTCCTGTTCCGGATTTAGGAGCAAGGCCAAAGACCTCAACAAAACGAGGATTCCAGAGACACCAATGACTTCTACAACTCCACTGTACATGCAGATACCCATGGAGATGCGGGTTCCAGAAGAAGACGAAGTTGAACAATGGATTGGACAGATATTAGAAAAGAACTAGGAAAAGAAAGAGACTTATTACAAGGTTGGGGAGACATCACAATGCCAGTGACATACGAAGCACAGGGTCAAAATCAAATCCCCGGCTGTTCTGGGCAGCATGCCAAGGTCTCCAAGCCCCCCGGCGGGGTCCTCTGTAACTCTGGACACCCAGAGGGATGTACTGAGTTCTGACACAGAGGAAGCTTTGAAGATGCTCTTCACTGCTGGAGCCCCTCTACTGTGGAGACAGGCTGGGACATCCAGGGCTGTTCAGCCTGGAGATGAGAAGGTTCAGAGAACTGGAAGCCCCTTCCACTGCCTAAAGGGACTCCAAAAGAACTGGAGAGGGACAGTAGCCTGGGAGGACAAGACAAGGGGTAGTGGCTTCAAATTGACAGAAGACAGGGTTATATGGGATATTACAAAGAAATTCTTCCCTGTGAGGGTGGTAAGACACCAGCACAGGTTGTCCAGAGCATCTGTGGCTGTCCCATCCCTGGAAGTGTTCCAAGGCTGGGTTGGATGGGGCTTGGAGCTACCTGGTCTAGTGGAAGGTGTCCCTAGCTATGGTATGGGGAGGGCTTAGGAGAAGATGAGCTTTAAAATCTCCTCCAACCCAAACTGCCCTCTGCCTCTGTCATTCCTGCTTTTCCCCAGGCTCTGCACTGGATGTGCCTGCAGCTCCCTTGAGTACCTGCAGGCAGTTGGACAGGCACTGTGCTCACAGTCCTGTTGGCAGGTAATCCCATGGGTCACTGCCTTCTCCTGCCCTCACCTGGCTGTTTACTGCTCTCAGCCTTTCCCAGACAGTTCTGGGCACTGCCCTTCACTCTTTTGGGCTGGCAGGATGTGGCATAGGGTGCCTCCAGCATGTTACCCCTGTGCAGGGCTCCAGCTGCCACCTCAAGGACACCCAGGGGGAAAGGAACAGCCCAAGCCTGTGGTTCCCAAGAGAGACAAGTCAGGAGAAATGACAGAGGACAGGCCAGCAGTGATGGGGAGACGGTGTCTGCCCCATCTGCTCAGGTGGCTGCTTGGCAGGGGTGTCCTCTGTGGCCAGTAAATGGGCATAGTGGTGGCAGTTCTGTAGCTGGGACACATCACTCCTGCTGGTGCCTTGGCACTGGAGGGGCATCACAGTGTATTCCCAGGCTGCCATGAGAACCATCAGGGAGGGTGTCAGCCCAAACCCCACATCATCACAACACTAGTGAGCTTGTGACAACCATAGCACCTTCCCTTTCCACAGGCCACTTCCTGCTGAATCTGCTCCCCACACGCCTCCCAGTGTGGAGAAGAACCTACTGTGGCCTGGCCTTGCTTGTCCCCTGATGCTTGGGTGCCCTGCCCCATTTGCCATTGGCATTGCCCTTTGGCGTGGCAGGGATGGAGCAGTGTCGCTGTCGAGGCGGTCACGACAAAAAGCAGAGACCACAAGCAGTCTCAGTTGGCAACTCTTTATTATTGAACATGGCTGAATTTATACACTTTCCAGTTGTTTATGCTGCTTCTACCCTAACTATTGGCCACAATAAGTCAACATAATACTATTAGTGAGAAGTTATAGTGACTTCAACTAACTTTCTAAAAATACTTCATCTAGCTGCAAGGTTCTCTTGTCTTTCTTCTCTTGGTCTACTTGGTTACAGCCTTGGAGAGAGCTCCTTATCAGCTTCGTCGTACTTCTTGGCTTCTTCTCACTCCTTTAGCTAACAGGCCTGCTGTTAGCCCCTTCCACAGAGCAGCATGCCGGCAACTGCAGGGAGACACCAGGCAGTACTGCCATCCAGGGGTCAGCCTGCTGTGGGGCTGGCAGCAATGAGGGAACTGAGGGGACACAGGGAGGGGATGTGATTGAGGGTTGCTGTGCCCAGGGAAGGCAGAAGGCTCAGCCCTTCGCCTCTGGAATGGCCTCCTTGCCAGCACTGGGAGCATCACGAGTACCAGACACACCACTGGATGCTGGGAATACTGGGCACTGGAATCCAGGATCAGTGGGAACATGTGGTGAATGGGGGCCACAGCAGCTCCCTCAAACCCTGGAACCCATCTTGTTCCCAGTGGGAGCTGTGATGAGCTCCTTGTTCCCAGTAGGGTGCTGTGCTGGGGGACTGGGCTGAGCTCACCGGGGGGGTGTCAGGGCCCTGGTGGGTCTCCTCCGAGAGGCGCTTCCTCCGCTGCCGGGTGGTGATGCTGCCGGCCTGGCTGCTGCACTGGCTGCTGGCGGCCACGGGCTGGGAGGACTGCCTTCTGCCACGCTGCAGCGTCTCTTCTGGGTCCCCCATCTTCACATCCTCATCCGTGATGGTTCCCAAGGAGGTGGAGGGCTGGGGAGAGGATGTGGGGATGTTGCTGAGGGGCACTGTCCGTTCCCAGACTCCCTCCCAAACCCCAGTTCTGGACAAAGGGCTGCCTGACCTCCCCCTCCCGGCCCTTACCATGCTCTCTAGGGGGTGTTATAGGTTAGTTGTGGTGGGGAATTAATCACCGACTAATAAGTCCAAATAAAATGAAATTTATTAATTGATACAGCAAGCGATAATAGGCAAAGTCAGTGCCCCCGGCATGCTGGGTGACAGGAGAGTCCCCTCTCTACCACTGCCGCACTCTTCTGATATTTCATGGAGTTCTTATACAGTCCTGCTTCCGGCTTGATGTGTAGTACTCTGCGTATTCTTCTTTTGTGTCTAGGTGGTCATAGTCCACCCCCCCGGAGGTCTGAAGATGAAGATTGGTATTTTCCTTTGTCTGATTCCTGGAATTTTAGGCTCAATCTGCTGAGTTCCTGGAATCTTAGGTTTACTGAGCAGATAAGCTGATACTGTGCTATCAATCATAGCAAATCCCCCACCCATATTAACAGTTTACTAAACAGATAAGCAAATGTTTGTGAAACCCATTG